GAGTCAGTGTAATATGGCTTATAGTAAACCTTCTATCCACAACTTAGTCATGTCTGGATTTCACATTTCTCCCACCACACGATTTATTTCAAACCATTTGTCATTTTGACATTTTTCCCATTCTGCTTGCCATTTATCAAATGAACTACTCATCAGGAGCTTGAGATGTTTTTTTTTACTCTGAAATGTTCTTCAAAACATCTAGGACTTCATGGATTTGGAATGATATAAAGGTCATTATGATGGTTGAGAGAGTGAATCCTTAAGGATTTTCCATTTTTTATGAACTATTGGCTTGTCATGACATTATTAGTAAAAAAAAATTCCCAAATCCCAGTTTTATTTAATTGTAATGGTTGAATTATAAATTAATTGATTACTAAAATAATTAAAAACGATGAATTAAAATGTATTAATTAAACGTTTAACAAAAATAACAATTTGGGGCACAACTATAGCGTAACAAAATTTTTATTTCCTCGAAAATCATGTTTTATTTTTTCCCAAATTCCATGTTTTCCATTTAAATTTTTCTGGATTCCATTTTAATTGTTAAATTAAATTTTAGTAATCAATTAACTGCAAATCTGCATTATACTATTATGACTAGTTTCTGCGATTCCATCCGCGTTTTCTGCATCATGGAAATCACAGAATCCTCAAAGCGCCAAATAAATACTTTTAAAACACTAGAGAAGAGAAGGGCTTTTATACCTCTCTGAATAAACCGCGTCGCTCTGAGGAAAATGGATCTTCAGATGCCAGTAGAATCGTCCTTCCCTGCAGGAACAAAACCAGAAAACTGAGTTAAGCTTCCCAGAACACCATCCGGACCGCATACTGCACTATATGTCCCGCTCCGGAGTGACTGACTCACATCAGAGCAATAATCAGATCGATGAGATGTTCTAACAGAAAGGCTGTTGCTTTTTTCCTAGAAGTTTAGTTTGACAGCCAACAGCAAATGTGTTTTTCCAGTTAGGAAACTCTGATCATCAGCATCAGTATGTACGACAGTCAATGGTGGACAGAAGCACAGGCCTGTCTGGCATCAAACGTCGCTATTTACTGGAACAACATGTTGGTGCGTTGATGGGCCAGTGTTGCTAATGTAATCGAGAAGGTGTGCGTTTGGAGGGAGCGAATCGATCCTGGGCATTACAGTTATGATGACGACAATTCAGCTGGCTGAAAGCCTGGAGCTGAGCACAGACAAAAAAAATTAAGGCTTTCTTTACTAGATCCAAAGAACATGAAACAGCGCTGACCGCTTCCACAGCTGCTGCTAAGAGTTTTATGTTCTTAATGCAACACACATCAGCATTCGATTGAGTCAAGCTTGGCTCTGTCAGTGCCATCCTGGCACTGTTCGGCTTCAATATGAGGATGAACAGAAGAAATACAAGCCCCCGGAGTGCTGTGATTTGGCTGGGCAGGATCCCACCCTCTGTGCCAGCTGCATCTGCTGAAGACTCACTGCAGTTTATCCAATTCAGGTTGAAGCAATAAGCCACGAGATCTGCTTCGCAACTCAGTTGAGCGGAGACCGATTTCATGCAAATGAGCAATGATGCCAAGCAGAAACTATAAATGGGATAATTAAATCACAGTCGGTATGAACACTCAGTAATTGGAGGATGTCTAATGGTTGCCAACCAACGTAACTGCAACGATCGATCAATATTCAATGCAACTTGTCACACTAATAGAATACAAATCTTCTTGCGTCAGACCAAGGCTGCATCTCATTGCTAGTTTTACTTGATCTTAGTGCTGCGTTCGACACCATAGATCATGACATACTTATAGATCGATTACAAAACTATACAGGTATTCAAGGACAGGCTTTAAGATGGTTTAGATCCTACCTGTCCGATCGCTACCACTTTGTTTATTTAAATGGGGAGTCATCTCAATTATCACCAGTAAAGTATGGAGTGCCACAAGGATCTGTCCTAGGTTCTCTGCTATTTTCAATATACATGTTGCACCTTGGTAATATTATTAGAAAATACGGGATTAGTTTCCACTGTTATGATGAAACGAGAGCATCAGTGTAGCGAAGATGTTGCTTACGGCGAAACTGAAACCAAGTCGTTCACACAGAACGCATATTTATCACATTTTCTAGCGGGGCATCTATCAGCGTTGCACTCACGTCTCACACAAAAGAGCGGCATGTTTAGAAAGCCATGTCAAATTAATGTAAGTTCAACTTTGAAAAAACATGTCTCAACACTTTATGGCGGTTTTCCCCCATCCCACTGTATCTCATGTTTTAAAATGAAGAAAGTAGCCTACTCTTTGTGATTGGTTTTCGGTCCTTTGTATTAAGCTATACATACATGCATGGTGCTGTTTTTTTCTAATTGTTTAAGCAACTTTATTAATTATATATGGTTTATAAACATTATTTTAAACATTATGCACTTTTTTCAAAGATAGACGTGTTATTTTATTACGCTTTGAAGAAAAGTGCATAATATTTTGCTCGATGCGCCCTCTTGTGGCCTCAGAGAGAAGCCAAAAGCTTTTTTCCTCCTAACTGAAATTATGCCTTTTAAATTTGAAATGATCATATTTAAGTGGAAAATTCAAATTTAGTTTTTCAGTCATTTTGACAGCCCTAATATACATGCATACATACATATACATACACACACATATATACATTTGTCTTTGTCTTAGGTTTGTCAACCTAAGAGCTTATGGTAAGTCTGTTTATAAGTTATTGAAATTTTGAATAAAAAAGGGGGAAAGCATAGAATTTTACTTCTGGAATCAGACTGTTGCACTGAATCGCAGCTCATCCGGCAGATTTTAACACCATGACTGTTTGTTTGATGAGCTCTTAACATTACATGTCTCTTGTTTAACTTTGCATGAGTCAAAATGCTGCAAAGGTGAAATAAAACACTCAGCGCCGACTTATTTGCTACATATGTCACGAATCACATGACTAAGATGAGAAGAATCACTGACATGCCTATCATCTGCCAGCTCATCTGCTTCCATCCAACCCCGTGTGCCAATCCCAGAAAGAGCTTTCGCCAGGACTTGAGCGTGCACACCAAACCAGATGGCACTGTTTCACAACCAAAACATTTTATCAGCTCCTCCGAAACGCATTCTTCAGATGCGAGATCAGATATGAAGGTTCTGGCAGGAGAGTTGGGACTCAGTTTCCAGCCTGAGGTGGGCAGCGCCGCGGTGGAGGAGTGTTTCTTTCGCAGGTGTAAAGACGCTCCCTCCAGGCAAAGGAGTTTATGGGTTTGCTCGGGCTTGGTGGCCCGCTGCAGCTCAGGGTGGAGGCGTGGTGGAAAAGGCCCGGAATACCAGGTGCAAAGGCATTGTTACGCCTCCAATGGAAACTTGTATTTTTTTTTACTCTAATGGAAAAAGGGATTTTCTTTCTCAACATTTTTGGCTTGCTTTCTAGTAGAAATGACCAAGTACTCTTAAATCAAGATACTTAAGGATCCAAAATATCATAATATATAATTCCTGCTTGCTGAGAAATTGATTAAAATGAATATCTACCAATGGAGCCAGAAAAAACAAACTATGTAATCTGTGTCTAAGAAATCTAGCAGGTTAAAGGCCCATTCACACCAAGGACGCTAACTATAAAGATAACGATAAAGATATAGTTCTAAAAATCGTTCTCAGTATTAAAGAATAGCAGAGTCCACACCATAGCTATAATGATAAAGACACAGAGAAACGATATCGTTGGAATCCCTTTCAGAACGATTTTCCAGCTGATGAACGATACAAACATTGACACCCAATCAGAATCAATCCTGCTGTAACGAGCTCAAGAACTTAAAGTGGCAGACGTGCGTGCGCTTAGAATAAACAGACGATATTGTCCGCTGGTGTGGATGCCAATATCATTATCTTTATAGATATTGTTCTTGGTGTGAACAGGGCTTAAGGCGTTAAAGGTATTCAAATTCGTTAAAACCCTTGTGAACATACTTATCTGAGAGAGAAGAAACAGCACGGTTGCTTATTATTAATATTTGCTAAGTCAAGCATCTAAAATCTTATATAACTTTATATTCGTATAGAAATAAGACAGCGAGAAAAGTATATGCACTTTATGACGTGTTTTGACCATTTGGGACATATTTTTTGTAATAACAAAAAAACATTTTTTTGTTATTACACAGAGTAAAGTACCAAGAAAAAGGTACCATTGGGTACTGGCACCAAATTTTAGGTACCGATGCCGGTTAAAATGTGAACGCTACCCAACCTAATTATAAAGCGTAGTCACAGTAGTTATCATCAACACAGTCAATGCACATTATGCACTAATAATTACTCAAAATTGCTGAAAATATAGTGAAACTGCTGTCTATCCTACTTAAACACATTCAAACATACTGACAGCGCAGAGTTGTTTGGACCTATTGAGTTCCATGAACCATGTGACCGCATGGCGGCGAGATCAAAGCATGTCGCAACTCAACAGCTCTGGTAACATCCAAGTAACCACCCAGAACACTCTAGCAACCACATATTAACACATCAACAATCAATCAACACCTTAGCAACGGCATAGTAATGTCCTGGAAACCACCACTCCAACCAAGCAATTGCTTAGTAACACTGAAGCTAGGGCTGGGCAATTTGGCAAAAATTTTAATCTCGATTTTTCCAGAACGTTTGACCGATTCTCGATTTTTTTTACGATTTTTAACTAGTCAACTTGAAAATGTAACTACAACATGATTCAAGTAACTTTTTCTTTAATAACCCTCTAGTTAAAGAAAATTCTATTCCAAGTGCAGCACACATGAAGTTGTCAACATGATAAATGTTAAACAAATCACTTGTTAAATATCTTTGCAGAAAATATGCATGAACTACAACTACATATTGTACAAACTTGTCTTATACATATGTGTTTAGAAATAAAAAATCTCAAAAGTCAAGGTAATTCAAATTCAAAATTACTGAAGGTATAACACCAGTAGACTAACTGTTCTGTAAAAACAAAAAAGCTTTCAGCCTGTCAACATGATGCTTTACAGGTTTTTTTTATTTGATTGCGCTGCTTTTTCATCGTTTTTTCTATGTAAACATGGACGTGTTTGACTGTTGTCTCACGCATGAAACGGCAGTCTAAAAACACGGCGCTCAAGTTAAAAGAAGTTCACTCCCATCTTCTTGCATGTTTTTCCTATTCCACTGCCCGCGTCACATCCCGTCAACACAAAAGCGCATTCTGCATATTTATGGTCCTTCACAAAGCGCGTCACACGAGCGGTTAATCACGTGCGCCGACATGCGGTTCGATTGTTCTTTTCGCTTTACTGTTATCAACTATTGATTAGGTAATAATTGAATAGGTAATATTTCTATTCAAAATTGCGATTCCTCGATTTCTAAAAATAAAATTGGTGCAAATTTGCAAAACATTAAATTCGAATTAATCAAAATCGGGGAAATCACCCAGCCCTAACTGAAGCAATGATCAAGAACACCTCCTAGCAAGCACATTGCATCAATCAATCAGAACACCTTAGCAACTCCATAGTAACGCCCTAGAAACCACCACCAACAACCTAAGAAACCGTTTTTACAAATTGTTCAAAATTAAGGGTTTATAGTGTTTAGAAAAAAAAATCTGCCAATGGGGTCAGAAAAATGAACTAGTTTTCAGTTTAAATTAAGTTCTTTTTTGATGCCCAATTTTGAACCATTTCTCAGAAAACAAGACTCATCTAACTCATCTATTTCACACAAAATATAAGTGAGCTTTCGAATCA